CTCCCTCTATATCCGGCGACATTTTCACCGGCTCGCCTGCAGCAGAGACATACACTAGATACATACCCTCCTCCTGGTTTTGCTTATAATAGTTATAGAATGAGGCCGCACACATGCACCCATAGGACTCAATCAGACTACTAGCTTTGAACTTATGTAATCTGGCGGCCCCTCCACATGGCAAAGTGTGTTTGACCACTTTTCGGTCCCAGTCAAATTGGGGCTGTGCCACAGAGAGGTAGTACATACCTAACAACATGTCCATCGGGAGTTCATCGCTCACTAGGAACGAGACGCGATGTTTTGATTCCCCTCCCGCGAACGGGAAAAAACACTCCACATCTTGGAGGTAGTCATTGACTACCATGCGCTGTTTGTTGGCACAGGTCGACTCCACAGGTCGAATCAGGCGCTGCACTTGCCCCTGTAAGCACAACCTCTCAACGCACGCGCGACTAATGAAGTTCCTAGTCGAGCAAGTGTCATAATAGGCCTTGGCCTTGCGACCGCCAATGACCACCTCGCTGACGAACATCTCACCCTTCGGGGCTTTGACTAGGGCCGTCCAAGAAGCTAGCGGATCTGATCTAGACCACTCCACCTCTAGCTCCTCTAAGGACTCAAACACATTCATCGACTGGCACTGCCCTCAACCACGTGTCGAGGTCTTCACCTCTCTTATCCCCTGTGAAGGGTTTCGGAGCAGCGATGGCCGTCTTTGGCACCCACTGTGTTTGTCCCGGTCCCTGCATCACTCTGGGTTGTGGACCCTGTGACACAGGTTGCTGTGCTGGCTGCTGGGGCTGTGTACCCTGCGGCTGTACAGACTGCGAGACAGCAGGCTGCGTGGTAACCGCAACTTGCAACGAAGATTGGGTGAACACTGTCTGTACCGGAACCTGCAAACTAGATCCTGCTGTGATCCCTCCTGATAGCGGCATGCCCAGGGAAACGATCGCAACCGATGATGGGACTACATATGGGGATACCCCAATCACCGGTGGGACAAAAGGAGGAGGCTGTACAACGGGCCAGGCACCAGGCCCGGACATTGGCGATGTAGCCTGCGCTTGCCCAACCAACAGGGCCAGACTTTGCTGGATGTCCTGAAGGATGGTTGTCTGATGGTCCTACATCTCAACTACATTCAATAGGACGGACCGTACGATCCTCACCTCATCAGTCACGAGCGTCAGGTCCATCTCCTCTAACTCACTAACGTCTCCTTGTCTCCGTTGCATCCTGACTCTTCTTCTAATCATTCTTTCTTTCTCCGCTTTTATATCTCCTAACGCCTTCTGTAATTGTGCCTCCTGCAATGCTGCTTGTTGTATGGCGATCTCATCGGACGTCAACACTAGTGGCTGGCTAGCCATGACGCCTATGGACTGACTTTGGGTCTGCGCGACCGTTGACCCTACAGATCCTGAACTACCGGCCTGAGTAGTCTGCTGCGCAGAGGTGGAAGCTGAGGGTTCACTCACAAGTGCCCTGCTAGCCTCTGCTGCTCTAGCCCTCCTTTGCTGCTGCAACCTCTCTCTACGCTGGCCGAACAGATATTTGTCACCCTCTGGACCTAATGCCAAATGGGCTACTGGACGCCTTGCCGATCGCAAGATCCGGTCGTCCTCTCTAGTGTCCTCCTCGTCGCTCATAAGCTACAACACTGTACACAATCTGCACTAAAACGCACTGGATGCTTACCGCAGTGTAGTGCACAGACCAACTAATTAATTGGTGGCTGTTTCAGAGACTTTACATTCGGGCCCAACAGGTAAGTCAGATTCCTACAAATAAAACTATTTTTAGTTTGACTAGTCCGCAAATAGAAGCACCATGAACAAGAAACAATTCTAACTAATGCTGTTTGTCAGATGTCAATGGCTGTACACCTAACTAATCAAAACATAAAAATAGAATCATTTGTGTGGATAGGACAGCATGGAATTTTCTCGAACTTATCACCTGAAATCTACCCCTCCCTTAGTTCCCCTGAGTATCACTTGACGTCAACGTCCCTGAGCAATCTGGAGAGCGTCGTGTGTCTAAAAGGTGTGTGCTCGGCCCACCCCTGTGCCCCGAGTATCTGCTGAGCTGGCCAGCCCTGCACTGGATTATCCTCAAGTGCAGCGAGCCTTACAACCATTGGCTGATCCAGAGGCGGTTTGGCGTCTGCCCCCAAGTGACTCCAGGAATTATTTTATGTCGCAGACGGACGACGATCACAGCCAACGGTTCCCCTTTCGGTGCTTATTTAAAGACGCCCGGTCTCGTCTCCCTTAAGGGCTGGCCTGCCCTTCAGTACCCATCTAACAGCGCAGCAAGCCAAACAAAGGACAAGCAGCAAAGCATGCATGCTCTACTCCTGGTGGGTTGGCATGGTGACCGTGACCCAGTGCTTCGTCCTTCAGAAAGCTCCGCCCATCTTCTCCCAAATGCTCCATGTGAACATTGCCGACTCTCAAGGTTGAGCGCACTCGACACCTCACAATGAGAGGACTCTCAAGAAGGAACACACAACCTCACGGTAAGAAGTGTCGAAGAGGGTAGATAAGGTTAAGAGCAACGTACCTCAAATAGCTGCCCCCAACCACAGAGATAATCTCACCAGATGACCTTATGGCGATTGCGATGACCAGTCACTGCATCGGCACAACCAGCATTATCTCGCCGTTCCACCTCAGCATCAATCGCACATTAGATAGTTCTCATCACACTGTCCAGCACCCACGTTACACCACGTAACCTTCCTGGTGATCCCCTCACCTCCTGGGTCGCCTATCACTCGTCTCCGCCCTCCTCACTACACACCACTTACGGCCAAACTCGCCAAGCAGACCGCATGTATGTACCGCATTAGGCAGAAGACAAGCGCCAGATGAGCGCAATCGTACCACAACTCCGATACCAAATTGCAAGGAAGATGAGCAATAGCGAACTTCAGCAATCAAACAGCATCATACATACGAGTCCAGATAGTGGTGACCTCGAACCAACAGCAGAATTGCATCACGAGTTTCACATAAAAAGAACACACCAAGAGTTCATAATTGACAATGCTGAAATAGTCCCATCATCATCAACGAAGAACCAGAGTTGATATCCTATCTGGCGCTCGACGCCCAGACTACATGTGGCAGATCCTATCTAGCCTATACTACAATGCCGAAGTTGACGACAACAGCTCTCCCGAAGTACGAGCATACAGCGACCAATGTCGCATGCTTCCAGCACCAGGTATGTCTCTCGCCTTACTCACAACCTTGTTCCCCAACACACAGATGCCACTTGCACCCAAGGACCACCCTGCGCCACACCCAGCTTACAGCAGCGCAGCTCGGCTATGGCTGCCTGCTCCTTCCCTGCTAGCCAGTGAGCGTGTAGGCGCCAGCCAGCAGTTAGCGCAGCAGCAGCGCTTGCGCAGCATGCAGCCAGCACCCGAATGCCGAACGAGGAGGCAGGCCCTTTGCTATATCGAAGTGGCCTGCCTGTGTCCAGTCCCAGGAAGCTTCCAGTAGGCCCCGGTGGCCTGAGGCCCAGCACGTTCAAGAACAGGCCTGGGCCTGAGGTGGTTGCATGCACCCAACTGCCCTTGGCATGTGTTTGGCCCAGTACCCGTATCCAGCCCAGGGCCTGCTTTCCATTCATTCACACAGGCGGCTCAGGGCCTGGGTTTTCTCAACCAACTGGCTCTGCGCAACTGCCTGAATTTCCTTTGTTGCGCAGAGGCCGAAATAAGGCCCTGAGGGGCCCCGTCGAGCCTGCCTTCACTTACTTAGGGCGGCCGACAGGCTCCCAAAAAGGGGCCGATTGGGGCTCATAGAGGCAGTGGCCTCACACATATCACTTCCCTCTTCATGTCGGTTGTCTTCTTCGTTCGCTATCGCCGTCGTGACACTTGTGCAAACAACGGGAACCTGCTCCAATACCAGTGCAATCAGACTTGTCTCGATCTCACTTGCAATATGCATACATGTAGGTGCCGATGGCAACACAACATCACCGCAGAATCAGCAACAGCTTGAGATGGCGCACAGCGCCCACACAGAAAACTCAGATAAATGGCCCTTGGCCAGGAACTCAGCTTAGTCAACTTTCACAACTTGCGGCTATGGCATCAAAACGCCCGTCTGAATTCCCACCCGAACACTGTATCCACCATCAAACACGCTTACACTACTCACGCACATACACACACGCATAGGATCTACCCTGAATGTCTGTTGACATCAGCAGCTGTATCTGTTGACATCAGCAGCTGGGCGGCTATGGCCGCCGTCGTCTTCCTCCTCCACTACTGGCTATGGCCGCTCGCCATCTTCTTCTTCGGGCTCCTGCGAACCTCTGATGCACAAGTCGCACAAGCAGCGCTTCCGCATGGCTTGCAGGCGAATGAATGAACGGCTTGGCACTGCCTCTTCATTTTTACTGCTTCGTCGGTGGCCTGGCCTGCCTTCGGTCCCAGGCCCAAGGAGTGCGCAGCCCCACCCGGTACTCACTGACTTGGACAAGGTGGGCTGGGACTGAGACTGAGACTGCTGATTAGACCAGGACTAGACTGTACCTTGCTGACTCAGCTACGGACGACTGACTCCTACAGCTCCCAAGAGCCAAGTAGCGACTTCTAGAAAGTCCTAGGCTACTTTGACTGACCCTTCCCTACACTTAGGGCTGACCTATAGGACCGACCCTAGGACTGTTAAGACTAAAACCTACGGTTCAAGTCCACAAGACCCAACTAAACACACAACACACAGACATACGTTTTTGGGGACAGGTCATGGGTTCAAGGCACACAGGGGCGTCGGGCAACTGTACAACGGTACGGGATAGGTCTACGGATCGAGCCCTGGGATCTGCGATTGTTGCGCGAACTGGGTGAAACCCTTTCAGCGATGTTGATGGATTGATTATTCAAGTTGTGCTGAGAAGTGTGTGAGTGTGTGTGTGTGTGTTGTCATGTTCGCTATAAACAACTCCAAAGCATGACTGTGCCAAACTGTTCCGTCGGACTTTTACTGACTCATCAGGAGGTTCTGTGTCCATGTGTCAGTGTGCATATGTCGTGAATCATCACCACAACAGCCCCTTCTCCAACCATATGAGTAGATTGAAAACTGAAGCAGTTTTACATCTGTGGCAGACAATGAAGCACACCGAAGCACATTAAAGATGAGAAAATCCAACATTGAGTGTGTGTCTGTGTGTGTGTGTGTGTACAGTGTAGAAGATCCAAGTAAGGGGGGTTGGGGGTGGGGTTGATCTGCACCGTTGACCCTGCAGGACTGGATGGCCAAGATTTCAGACTTCTTACTTTCTTCCAATGATCTGGGCCATGAGCCAATACCGTCCCAGGGACAACCCAGATTTTGTAACGGGATAGCGCACTTGGAGAGTGTATTTATACTCTTCAGCACGCAGAGCATCAATTGGCAAACACAAATGGATCCCAGTGCACATAAACACTATCATGATGTTTTGTCAATACCTCTTTCCAGAGAACATGATCCTTCCTGTGCTCAATTGGAAGCAAGTAGTCGCGAAGACGGGATGCCACGACCCATGGACACGTGTTCTCTGGAGTAGATGACGCACGGGCATCCATGGCATGTTCCTCCAAATATGAGCATACCTGAAACAGCACAACCATTTCTAAGAAACTTGAGAAAAGATCAACGTAACCATACCACCTGCATGGCTGACAAGAGCACACAGTGCTGTAAACAAAACAAGCACACCATACATCGCAACCCTGCCCTAGAAAAGACCTGAAAGGCTAGTACTGGAGCACCACTTCACCTTCTAGTACTGTTGCAGGGGGCCTACTGGCCCACTGCCTTTTATTTTTTCAAACAGCAGCGTGCAATCCAAACCATCGACCTGCTTGGACTCCCTGATGGCTCATATGGTAGATTTATTATATTAGCGTTTCCTTAGTTGTGGGGATGGCATGCCACAGGATGACAGTGCTGGCATGCATAACATACAAATCTCTTCTTCCATGTTAGAAAGGCAATTCAGCATGCACGAAACTAACCAAATGAGGCGTAGACACAGCACACAGTACCACATAAAATATGCATCATCATCAACCTTCTCTGATACACGTCCCACCAAAATGCCAGATGTATATGCCATGGTTTTGTGGATTGCAAAAAGACCCGCACATAACTAGTCTGAGATTTATGCTGTTTTCTGAGAATTGCCGCTTCATGGTTTGATTTGCTGAGATTTCCACGTTCTGAGTGAGAATGCTGTTTGCTTACATATGTCTAAGTCCCAGCGTGATGATTGCTATGCGGAGTCGTTCGGGAAGGGGTAGTTCAGGAACAGCGAGACTGCAAGGACAGGACTGAAATTGGACACCGTCACGACTGACAGGGACTTATACAATTGGACCCGGGAGATATTTTCCAGCAACTCTGGTAGGCCCAACTGAGGTCCAGCACACTCAGGAAGGACCCACTAGCTTCCGAAAAGGTCATGAATAGTCAGGGCCCGTACCTCTAGGAGAGATGATAAGAGCATCCCCTCCTAGCAAACGACCTGGGCGCCCCGATCTATTGGTGGGGAGCAACACCTGCTCGAAAACGGGTCCAGTGTCCCAATGTACATCCGATAGCCTGCCAGCATTGATTGCCCTGTTTCCAGGGGATTAACTGTGCAGGATTAGTAATTTGAGAGCCCTTCATACCACCACCTCTTCAGTCTGCATCAGACTGCCAGATCACTCGTATTTCCCTAGCGGCTACTTCCTCCACTACCTTCCATGTGCTGTTGCCTGAGGCCTTTCTCACGCTGCACCGTACCATTTCATGTCGACCATTGCCAGCTGGTGGGGTGGAAATGGGTCAGGAAAATCCGTGGATGGTCGCAGCGGGATCTCCTGTCCCACCGTAGTCCAGTCTCTGAAGCTAATAGAGTAGTCTCTCCTGAACTCGTCCTGGTTGCATTCCTGGGCGGTTCACCGTCCCATCGGACGAATGCGATCCAGCCCCTGTTCTCACTGCCCAACCAGTCCCCCGAAAATTGCTGAATTGCTTGTATTATGTCTTTTAATGCATGAAACAGATCAAGCTGGTTTTTGACTTTTTGCCACTGTACCCTAAGTTCTTGTTGGATGTACTGTTTTATCATGTCTGTTACCTCTTCCCCAGCTATGCGGACCCCCTCTATTGCATGGATACAGCGTTTTTTCCAGAGGGCCCACATGACTGCTCTCCTCCCTAACTTGAACATATTGTTTTCGAAAGTTTTGTCGGTGGGGGAGGACCATGCCTCACATAATCTGGATCTCCAATCCCATGGCCAGTTAGTGCCAGTGGCCAGCCGTGTCCAGATTCTATCCCACCATCGCCATGTGAGCACGGCCCCCGGACACTGCATGAATATATGCTCTATGGTTTCCAGGATTCTGCAGGAGGGGAAGGCGGTGTGGCACGACTTACACCATGGTAACGCCCGTCCCTTCTGCTCTAGATATATTCGATCTATCAGTCAGTCGTTGGTGGGCAGGCAGCGATGTTCTATCTGCCATTGTAGCGAGACCATCTTCTCTGGCCTGGACCTTGTGGCGGAGAACCATCGAATGGGGCGGATTGCTTCAGTTCCTACATTCAGATGAGACCTCCATCGAGCCCTCACCGTTTCTTTTATGTTCACTTTTGGACGCAGCAGCCGATAGGTAGCCTTCACCGTTAAGGTATGCAGCATTAGGTTCTCCCCGGACCTGCGTTTTCGCGGGGGGGACCACTGCCACCCCTCGGGATCAAAAGGGAGCTCAGCGAGGGGGGTGTCTGGCTGGTATGCGATCCACAAATCTTTGTCTTGTAGCACACGGATCCTGTGCAGGTCAGGGTTTCTCCACCATCTCACCACATCTGGGTTGTACCGGGAGAGCACATTGTCCTTACCAATGTGGAAGAGATTGATCAAGGTTTCATCCGCACATACCCCTACCACGTTGCCTACACTCTCCGGATCGCCTGGGGCCGCTACCCAGTCCCTTTCTGCCAGTCGCGGCCCTTTGTGTAGGATGCGGACCCAGTCTAGAGTGATAGCGAAAATCAAGGTTTTGATGTGCTCTTCAACTTTTTGACAATACTTTAGTGTAGTCCTTTGTTGCTGCGCAGATTTCCAGTCTCCCACTCGTGTATCCCATATATCTTTTATTATGGTTATACCTTTTTTGACCCAGCTGTTCCACGGGGTGCTTGAGCTACAATACACTCTGTTGTACCGGTCTGGTATCCTTCTGTTCCCAAAAAGGGGTTGACGTGCCACCTCTTCCCACCTGGTTGGTGGGGATTTGTCGGGTAGCGGAAGTTGGCGCCAGGCGTTCAAAACACGGGCCCAGAAGTCATCCCTGACCAAATCCGCGTGAGCTGTGTCTCGGCACGGAACTCGCCCGTTTCGACGGGACCGTGGCACTGTCCAGCAAAGGTCTTCCTCTCGCATGTAGCATCACTCTCCTGCCATCCGAAATCTTGCAATCCAGCAGATGCCTAATCTTAGTCTGACCCTTAATTGCTCTAAAAGTAGCCGCTCACATAAGCTCAAGGTAGTGCTCTACCATGCCAATCTCGTCGTGCCTACCTAGCCTAGTATCAGCCAGGTTAGTGGGTTAACCCCTTGCGGTGCCTGTGGGGCGAGTCTAGCTATTTGTTCCAAAGCAAGGGCATGCCATGGGAGGCGTTGGGTGAAGAGCAGTCTCCGGATCCATTGAATTGTTAATGCCTTGATCTGGGTATCCGGGTCTAGGATCCCCAGGCCCCCTTTGTCTTTAGGTTGAATTACTGAATGTCAGTCTACCCTGCTAATAACATTTGGGAGTTCTCTGTTGCCTCTCCATAGCAGGGTTGTTACCTGCCGCTTTAGTGATCGAACGGCCTCCTTGCTGAGGGCCCAGATTGCAGATTTGTACCAGAGGGCCGCCAGTATCTCGTTGTTGATCGCCAGTGCCCTGTCGATAAGGGAGGAGTGAAGGTCTTTCCAGTGAGCTAGCTTCTCTCAAGCAGGCTTTAGGATCCATTCGTCAATCGATGTGGGCTTGCCTAGTGCCGTCAGCATGATTCCGAGCACCCTAACCGGGGCCGTTTCCGAGAGCCACTTGACCTGTGGGAGCTCGGGGGGACGCGCCCCTCACACGTGGTTAACCAGGGGTGTTATTTTCGACGAATTTTGCACCGATTGCACTGAAGTGTCATATTGTGCTGATTTTTTGCTTTTTTTCTTGTTTTTCTTTTTGTGTGATATATATGTGCTTTAGGGTACGTCATGTGTGCAGTTTTGACATGTTTGGATCAATAATGAAAAAGCACTATGGTCTCATATCGTTTGTTTTTAAAATTTTTGATGAAATTTGCACCGCAATAGCCAACGAAAATGGCGAATATTTGGGCCCCCGTTAACCGTCTCTCCCCTTGATGGTGGATCCACCATCCCATGGTTTTATTTCCCCAGTTTGCAGTCATGTCTGAGACTACTGTGAACCGGTTGAATAATCGCCTGACCTCTTCCATGTTTGTTGTGCTGCCATCGACCATAAGTGTCAGGTTGTCCGCTAACATCGAACAAATTGGGATCGCTTCTTCTGAGATGGCCGAGATCTGCAATTTCCTTAGGTCCTTGTTGGCACGAAGGTTTGCTGCCTGTGAACCGGTTGAATAATCGCCTGATCTCTTCCATGTTTGCTGTGGTGGCATCGACCATAAGTGTCAGGTCGTCCGCAAACATCGAACAGATTGGGATTGCTTCTTCTGGGATGGCCGAGATCTGCAATTTCCTCAGGTCCTTGTTGGCACGAAGGTTTGCTGCCAATGCCTCCATCACAATTATAAACAGGAAGGGTGCCTCGATAGTGGGTAGGTTAGATCCAGGCATTGAAGTAGGATTGCACGCTGCAATGAAGTTCCCACCACAAGGCAGGAACTTCTGGTAGGCCTAGGACACCAGAGAGGCAGTAGTACCACGGCCAAAGGGAGGCCAGAGGCCAAGTGGCAAGAGTATGTCATTCGGGCACATTGAGGTGACACATTACCCGACCGTCATGCTGCTGCTTCGCCCGCAGGGTGAAGGTAGTGGAGCTCCTGCAGTGTGCTGGAGCTGGACGGTGAGAAAGAAGACATCTTTGGCTATGGACGAGTAGTTGTGGTAGGGTGTAGGCCTAATGTTGCATACTGTAACGTGCAGACTAGAACAAGAACCGACCTTTCAATACAAAGTATAAGATAGCACAACGGAAGACTTAGATACCAGTGATCCGAACAATCAATGTTCAAATGCAGCCCTGAACATACATCATCATCATCCTTACATGGTGTGAAATGGGCCTGGCGCTTCACACAGGAAGACTGCGCCAGCCCATACCATAC